AGTGCATCCCACATTGGCCTTTGCTGAGATTGTCATCAAGGGGTTCAATTGTTACTGTACTTCAAGGACTGAACACTTGACACCAAGAATTAGACAGAGATAATTCATTTCAAATACTATAAAAATTTCTGGATAACTGTCAAATGGTGTCAGTTTCTGCCGGTACTGACCTGAGCTGAATTGAACCAATTACCTAAAAATTGGTATTATGCCTATTTACACCAACTGAAGATCTGACACACTGAAATTCTGCCATCATTCTGCTTAGTTACTGAGCTTTGTTAAATCCCTCTAGTGCTCTTCGCAGATGCGTGACATAAAATTGTAACTATATCAACCCTCTACAAACCTCTGCTAATACACGTGGGTCAGGAGGGCTAGAGGTATGATTCTTGACCAACAAGGCTGTGCTGGCCAAAGCCTTTAGTGGATATGCAGTTATATTGGCAAAACCATGCATTTGCCAGTATAGCTTATTTTATTTAAGGCAAAGTGTTGCCCTAAATAAGACAGCCCTTCACAGTCATACCGGGAGTGCTTTGCCCATATCACTATACTGGCAAAGCATTCCTAGCACAAACCTGGCTTCCAGGAAAAGTGGATGAACAGTAAAAATGACTGTAACAGAATAACCTCCACTTGATTAGTCTGCGCTAGCATTAAGCTTCAGAACCTGTATTTGCACAGCTGCCATCTGTTACAAACTATTCTATTCTGATTTTGTTGTTAATTGTACTTTGAAAGATTATAAAGCTCTGCCTGCTAAAATTACCTATTAATGTTCAGGCGTTCTCTGACAGCAGTTTTCTACAGCAGGCCTCTTTTCATCTACAGCATCCCTCAAAATGGAATGAGTCATGAGAGCCAGGGACCTTGTTCAGAGGACAATAGGCATGAATTCTCCACTTAAGATTCTGTAGGCAAATCTGAAAAATAACGAAACGCTATTTGAACTTGACCAGGGACTTCTCATCCAAACCAAAGACTTCTTCTGTACCCCTACAATCCAGATATAGACAGAACGGGAAATCCATGTTATTTGCATATAGGGTTGAATAAGACATACTAAAAGCTAATTTCAGATACACAAATATGGCTCGTGAATGGCTAATTTAAAAATGATGAGAATCTCCCACTAGGGAAAAAAGTAAACTATCCCCAGTGCTTTTCATAAAAAAATCCCCAAATATCACCATAGTTCCTTTTGAGAGCTTGCAAATAACCAACAAGGAACCAAGGAACTTGCAGTGCAGCTAAAGGAAAACATCTCTTCTTCAGGTGAAAAAGCATTTTCAGTGTTTGATGTAAACAAAGTAAGGTGGAGCATACAGCATCTCTAGCTGTGTTTTTTATGGAACAAAGCTAGATATTTCCGCACTTACTTTACTCATGGCATTCTACAGATCCAATCCTCCTTTCTGCTGATTTGAGCACTGGGCTCCACCCTTACCCTTGGTGGATTCTTCTAAGCATGCATCTGACAAATTGTGAAAGATGTTGACATGTTCTGAATACTGAAGTTCAGCATTCTAAGAATTTTCTACTATAGTCACATTTCCTCTGAAGTTAACAACCTAGGGAGATGACCTACACTTCCACTATCTCACAAAAAACATGCTTCTTTATGCAAGTTAACCTTGTGATTAGTAATTTTAAAAAAGCTTTTTAGGGCTTGTGTACACACAAAGCTATTCTGGAATTACTTCATATGTAGACATATACGTTGGAAAAAAGACAAATTTATTCCAGATTATCCGTTCTTTTCTAAATTCATACTCTATTTAATGCAGAATAATTTCCATGTGCATACAAGCCTTTACAATATGATTTTTAAAAGCAGTCAGTGTTGGCCTAACTAGATTCCTACTGAAATCAATGGTAGAACAGAACAAGAGGACTTCTGAAAATCTTACCCTTTGGGCCTTTTATATAAGCATGTAACTGACTATAGTTCTGTACGGATGATATGTGGCTTTGTCCTTGAGTTGAGGTTGGACCACAGGCTGAATCTGGCCCATGAAAGGATATTACCTGGCCTGCAAAGCTGAGATATTGGTAGCAACTTAGTGGCAGTGGGGATCAGCAGTGAGGGAAGTAATGGTAGCATGAGGATTTGTTGGCAAAGAAAGAAGTGGAGACAACCCACTTTCAAATCAAGCTTTGTTACTTTGACCTGTTGCTGCTAAAAGGTTGCCAACCCCAACTTAAAAAGTAAAACAAAAAAAAAATGTTGTAGAGAATAAGGTAGACTATAGAGATATTGAACATGAAGCAAATTAATCCTATATGTAGAAAAAATGCCTAATTCTGAATAACAATTCTGTGACATTTTAATTTACAAATAGGACTGCCTGAATGATTCTCTGTAGCCTGTATCCAGTTGATGGGCAAGATGTATACTGCAGTGTCATTTAATGCAGTATTTTTATGAATGTGGCAGAAGAGGGTTGAACAGAGGTATGGCAACATTTGAAGATGCCACAAGCCTTTAAAATTTGTCAAGACCAGAGAGAGCTTAAGGAATTTCAGACTGACCTACCGGAGCATAATTACAGATGAAGTTCAATAAAAGCAAGTGCAAAATGAAGCATACTGGAAATCCTTATTAACCAATCACCACTCCAGGAAGAGCCTTAGGCATCCCTGTAGAGAGCAATTAAAAATTATCAGTTCGTTGTGCAGCACCAATCAAAAAAATTGAGATGCTGGTTTCCCATGAAACAGAGATTGAATAATAGTGAAAATCTGTTAATGCTCAATAGAGTACCTTACCTTGATTGCAGTGTTCCAGTTAGTTACTCAAGATTTTCAACAGAATCAGAATCGTAAATGTTCTGCTTTCATTTTCACATTTTACCCTTGAAAATGCACACACAAAAAGAGTAAGCAGAAATAGAGAAAGCTCAGCAGTAACCACTGTATCTAGGTGCCTATGCCTCTAAAGAGGAGTAAAAAAGATACAGACTATCCACTTTAAAAGAAATAAACAAGAGGCGACATAGTGGATGTCAATAAAATAGCAAACGGTGCACAGAAGTTTCCTTAGAGGTTGAAATAAATTCATTCTCATAACACACAAATAAAGTAGCAGCTAATTACATTTATGGATGGCAAACTTAAAACTGACAACAATCACAATACGAATAATTAAGCTGTGGAACTCCAAGCCATAAAGTTAGTATTGAGGTATAGAGTTTAAGAGAACTGTAGAAAGATTTGACTTTTATATGAACAGTAACAAAATCTGCAATTACATCTATAAATCTGAAAAAGAACATCCTGTATTCGAAAGCTTGTCTAACCCTATCCCACCTACACAGTTGGTCTAATAAAAGATAATCACACTAAGAAACCCTTTCACCACACATAGCTTACCTGTTGGGAGTTTATTGAAAGTGGTACAATTTTGTCAGGTAAATGAGGTTGTAGAAAGCCAGATCCTATTCTATCTATTGGATGTTTATGTGGGTGTGTCTACACATGCATTAGTGTGCTGTTGCTACTGTACATTTAGTTTAGTACCTCTACTATGAGGTACTACATAAATGTGCACAGTAGCAATGGCACACAATCGTTTTGTGATGCTTAACACACAGTAGACTAATTCTACTGCGCATTAGCACAGTTTTTGCTGTGATGCACTAATGTGCAATAGAATTAGTCTACTGTGCATTAAGTATCTCATGTAGATGCGCTCAGTGGCACTCAAGTGTGTACATACCATCCTGTGGAGTCTCTAAAGAACCAGTAATGTATCTGCTTTTGTGAGATGCCTTCATCAAGTAGCTCAGGATCTGAGGGCTAATTGCCTGTGGGTGCATCTACACATTCATTAATGAGCTGTAATTACTGTGCATTAAGTTTAGTACCTAAGGGCACTAATTAGCATGGGTTGGAGCAGACTCGATTAATGGAGTCTGCTACAAATCTGCTGAAGCATGCTAATTAGCACACTCCAGCAGCCTCTATGTTGTGTATTCAGCGTCCCCAACATATTTCAAAATGGTGGCAGGGCCGCTTTAACTAAAGGTCATTGAACACGTTTTACTGAAAGCGCCCTTGTTAACATTTTGAAGCATGCAAGCTAAATATGCCTGATGTTACGGGCACTTTAATTAGAGCGGCTCTCAAAGCTACTCTAATTAAAGCACTCCCCTCCCCACAGGAGAGCCCATGCATACAAGCCCACATGTAATAACACGGCATTTATACACACACTTTTTCATGCCAGAGATCCATTGCTTTCCAGCAGACTCCATGAACTGAGCCTGCTCCACACAAGTGCTGACATGTGCTGCTCCGCGCTGCGGCGCCTGCAGTTGTGTCAACGGCCAAACGCGTGTCAGCACACAGAAAATGGCAGTGGTGTGCTTTTGAACTAACGCACCTCCAACGTGTTTTAGTTCAAAAGCATGCCGCTGCCTTTTTCTCAGCAATGCTGGCGCTGCGGCATTTGCATACATAAAAATGCCCACAGGTACTAACTTAATGTGCTCTAACTGGCTACTATGTCTTAGTGCAGGTGAACACTTTTTATGTGATGCTTAATGCCCGTTGGACTAAATTACTGCGTGTTAGCATTGGTTTTAGTGTCGGCCTTAATGCGCAGTACAGTTAGTCCGAGGAGCATTAAGCGTCTCGTGTAGAGGCGCCCTCCGTGTCTCGAGGGCAGGCGCCCTGGCTGGGTGCCGAGGAGGTCACGGACATGAGCTGGAGGTAGGCGGGGCCGGGGCCGGGGCCGGGGCCGGGGCCGGACTTGAGCGCCCAGGCTGACTTCACCAAGCGTTTCACAATGCGAAACAAAAGGGAAAAAACCCAAAACAAAAAAAACAAACAAACACGGGGCTTCAATCCGCTTTCTCATGTCGGATTTTCCCCGTGAGCAATGAGGATAAATACACCAGCAGGGATGTCCGCAGCTCATTCTGCCCTGCCGTCCCGGGCCAGCCAGCCCTCTCGGAGCGCGCAGCAAAGGGGAAGGCGAAGCACAGCAGAGGGCCATGCCGCGCAGTGAGTGCCAGCCCGCGCTCCCGCCCGCCCGCCGGCCGGCCCTGCCTGCCTGCCCTGCCCTCACCGCCCCTCTCTGTCTGTTTCCTCTCCTCAGGCGCCGCCTGGGCAGCCGCCGCCGTCGCTCT